TTAACCCTATTTTAGAGGCTTATAACATAGGAAGTACCAACACTAAAGAAAAAGCAGATGAATTGAAAAGCTTCGCCTTTAATAGCTCAAAGTCTCAAACTAGTATTCTATTTAAACATGTATTATTAGGCTGTAGGCTGAATTAGCTGATATTTGATTGACAATTTAACTCTTGTGAAATTAGGACAACTTTCGGGCAGGAAAAGCTGCATTGTAGAAATAACATAAATCCATCATTCAATGCTCATCATCATAATCATCAAGCTGTCCCGTTAAGTTCCCATTGGGAATTAATGGCATGTCACGTTTCCTGTTTTGTTAATTTCTCAACATATTCAACACTCACCTAGTTAACAAAAGTATTGAGTTTAAAATTTGACTTGACGGACTGTATTTAGTGTTGTATAAGAGATACTTGGATATTTCTCTATGTTATTAGGTATCCTATAAATGGACTTTTTGACAGTAGTCTCCCTGCGTGGGCATAATGGACATAGATAAATCTGTTTCACTTTTATAGTTGACTGGGTTTCCGCTCAATTCAAGCATGTCATAAAATACTAAATTTTGATGGAGGATTTGAGTAGTTTGGCATGTCTATTCATAGGAAGTTAAATGCACTTTGCAAGTCAGAGTTTAGAAGTTTGGTTCTTACAGAAAGTAAAGAGGATGGGGACTTAGCAAGTGAGAATTTTTTTTCAGGATTATTCTTCTTGGCGTTAACTTGAAATTTGCCCCTTATTGTTCCCAAAATGCTCTACTTTTATATAACGAAAGGTTTTCCTAAAATTACTTGTTGATTTACGATATCTGCGTCAATTTATTGCAAAGTCACTTGCATTAAGGGATGACAGTCTTGTTGCATTCTCAGATTTCATCACCTGACTCAGATTTTTTAAGTGTGAAGTGTTTGCTAAGTTGCATATATTTAACAATTAAAGAATTGCTGGATCCCCAACTCTGCACAGTTCTAGTGGTAGTTCTACTTATTAGAAAAGATTTGGAACTATTTCACTGTAATCCACTATGAACGGAGTCATCTGATACACAATTGTCGCTTTAGAAAATATTTAGAACATTCTATCAACACTGCAACTCCTTAGAAGTTTTTTGTTAAAAGTTGGAAGTTTTTTGTTTCCTTCAACATTAATTCCCTTCCTTCTAGAGACACATAAGGGTAAGATTTATACGTCAATGTAAACTTTTGTAAATTGATATTTCTGCTATTAGTTCTTTAGGCCATTTATTTTTACAAAAGAAACAGTTAAAACACAACTCATTATTCATTCTCATTATACCTTTCCTTACCTGTTAACATAATTTATGACAAACATTATGAACAGTCTTTTCCGGTTTGATCAAGTGAACCAGCATTTGACCAAGAAAGTTATGTCCTTTCAGTCTAGAGCAAATAATCTTCTGATGTCAGTACAAAAGAAAACAACAAGACCACAATACTAATTCCACACAACACAACAAGAACCAGTTGAAAGAAATAATCAGAATATAATAAGTAACTAGCTGCTTACCATAGAATAGAACAGATGGACGAATACGACGACAAGTGAGAACTCAAACGCCGCATATGCCCAAACATATTCTCTGCTTGCTGTATTTCACGGAAAAATACATGGAAAACCTAAGAACCAGCATAAGATTTTACTCATAAATTCTTTCTCCAGGAACATAATTACCTAAGACGATTGAAAATACCGATCCCAATAAGCTCAGCGTAAAAGAAAATGGCGCAGCAACCGCAAGTGCACGGTATCTCATATCACGGACCTATAATAGAAGGAAACAGATTAGAGATGCAAATCATCGCAGGGAACATGAACATAATACATACACAGCCTACGTAACTAATGAAAATTTCCATGTAAATGTGATGAACAGGTGGGTGATATACTGTCACAAAAAAAAAACAATTAAAATATCTAATGCAGACTTCATCGATTTTATTCATGTGTATAATTAATTACATGGCCCTAAATGACAAGTAAGTGCTTTGATATTCAAATATGTACGAAAGAGAAACCAATTATCTCATCAATAGCTTAAACTGTGGTTGATAAGTTAATATGTAAACTTAGTACAGAATATATATGAAGAAAGTGAGTGAGGCAGACGAATATGTGCTGCATGGTGCAAACTGGAAATAACTAGATCACAAATTGCAGATTTATCAAGGTTGATTCATCCATAATCATCACTACAGCTAAAGTATTATAGCATGAAACTCTGCATATGTTATAAATCAACCCCAAGTTAAAAAGATTCGAGAATGCACTGTGAAGGAAAAGATATATAATCTACAATATGTATGGTACTTCTCCTGACCAAAAAATTAATGTGTCCAACTGGTACTCGTCTCAATCCATATTCTTAACTTAATACCTCTAGCCATTAGACCAAAACTCTAAAGTTATGGTGAAGATCGAGGATTATAGTTTTATATTGATTCAAACATGCCCCTGCAAGTTGAGCACCCTTTTTTATGGCTCGAAACCAAGACCCAGATGGCGGTGTCAATTTTTAGAAAATCTGCTTTTAATTCGTGGCCAATGGGATTTGAACCTAGGTGGCTCTGATACCATCTCAAATTTAGTCTCTCTAACCATTAGACCAAAACTTCAAAGTTATGGCAAGGGTCGAGAATTATAGTTTTATATTAATTCTAACACGCCATCGCAGGTTGAGCGCCCCTTTTATAGGCTGAAAACCTAGACTCACGTAGCAATAACAATTTTAAAATCCGTATTAAATTCGTGGCCAGCAAGATTCAAACCTGGATTGCTCTGACACCATCTTAATTCTAGTCTCTTTTAACCATTAGACCAAAACTCCAAAGTTATGATGAGAGTCAATGATTATAGTTTCATATTAATTCTAACGCATCAAACACTTGAAAAATATGTAAAATAGTAATCACATTAAAATTACATATAAAATAAAGTATGCTAGACCCCATTCTTGATAAAAACTAACTGTTGTATAAAACATTTTACTACTTTAAGTTTTTCATTTAAGAATAACAGCAATATAAAAAGATAGGTAGGCAGGTAGGCAGATAGATGAGTGTTAAGTATTATGTAAATTGCACTTAAATACCATATAGTTTCACCAATCTTGCTCTTAAATGCACCCTATTGTAAAAGCGAGCATTTAAATGCCCCATTGTTTCTCTGTTAAAAAACAGTAATACCGTTATCATTTTCCTGTAAAGAAGAAAATGTCACTCCCCCCATTAAATCAACCCACCCACAATATTGCCCCATTAATAGTAAAAAGAATTCCCAATTTTTTACCTCCCCCATATTCACTGCACCCAGGAGAAGACATTGGGGAAGAAATCTGCACTAGGGTTACAGATTTGTGGAATTTGGATTTTAAAGATAAAATGAAAGAGTGGGTTAAAATTAGAAGAAAAGAGGTAATATAGGAGAAGGGCGGTTTAATTGCAATTTGGATGAACTTTAGGGGTATAGAACTATAGAAAATACCACCGGACAGCTCACATGGGTATATTCCACGAATATTCTAACGGCTAACTGACAAAGGGCATGAACACGCAACATTTTAAAACTTTGGGGTATTGAAGAGCATGGTTTAAGAATTTTGGGGTGTTTAAGTGCACCATTTTAAAATAGGAGGCACTTATATGCAAGGTTGGTGAAACTATAGGGCATTTAGGTGCAATTTAGCCTTCTATTTATGACTCAACTATACATATATTTAGAAGAAGTAGACATATGTATACGTGTCCGCTAGCTGGATTTTGAACAATTTTCATGTCTGACAGCCCGTGATTGTCACAGCACAAATACCTGTGTCCATGTGTACTGATTTAGTCTACAACCCATTTAGCATAATTATTATTGGAGTAAATATAGTATATAACCCATTTAGCATAATGATTTAATCATAATTATGTGTTGTTTATTCTTTTAGTTATGAAAACTGCACTATTGCCATGAAGTTGAATCTCAATCCTGTAGCAAAGAGAAAATCTTCCAGACATTTTAAAGTTCCCGATATCAACATGGATTAGTAAGGAACAAACAAGTGGTTGTTCAAGTGATGAAACATATCATATATGTTTCCAAAATTGTTTTGCAATAATCATATCAATATCGTCAAAAAAAGGGAGAAGATAGAGATTACAAAAATCTTTCAATGCTTTTTAATTGTTTTATCTTCAAATCCATACTAGTATAAAAAGAGGACTGGGGTGTTAAAACTTTTATTTTCGTTTTTTGCCCTCTCAAATTTTGATAAATTCTAACTATGTCATTATATCTAATTAATCTTTCATTAATCAAATATAACCTCTTATTAATTATTCACTTCCTCACCTTCCTAAATAATTATAATTATAAATAATATTATAACTATTAATTGTTTAGATAAAATAATTTATAAAACAAGTATACACAATTATTAGTAGTAACCAATTAAATTATTATAACAATTATTTATGAATTATAATAAAGTAATTAAAATAATAGTATAAATATAATAATATATTACTAAATACTATTAAGAATCTATACAATAATTCAATTAGCAATAAAATAAATAGAATAAATTTTGAGTCGCATAAATAGTATAATTATTTTAATAATATCACATAAATCATGAATTATACTATTTATTTAGTATTATATTATTAAATAAATAATTTAATATTATTTTTAGAGTATTTTCTCAAAGATTAGTACATGATACTAAATAATCATACTTGGTAATGATTGAAAACTAACATTTTTACAAAAAATTATTTAATATTAATAATAGTACTTTTAATTGTTAATGGTAGTATACTAAAAATTTATAAAATATTTATAGTACTAAATTATTTAAGAGCATAATTAAAAAAATTAAATTAGATAAATATTTTATAGTATATAGTCAGTATAATTATTTTAATGGTATTACTTGAACTAAGAATTATAAATTAAATAAGGTAAATTATAGTAAACCCCCATGAACTTTTAGCATTTTGCAGTAAATAGACCCCGTGAACTATCAAAATCACACTGAACCCTTAATAACTTTTGTAGAAAGCCCATAATATCTTTTAGATAAATTACACCATACCCCCAATAACTTTCAAAATACCTTTTTATACCATTTTTTGGTTCTAATTTATAGGGGTTATTTGCAAAATTTAAAAAGTTATTGGGGTCTTCTTTGAAACAGAAAAGTCATTAGGGGTTTAGTGTAATTTTAAAAGTTCATATGGGCTGAAAGTTCATAAGGGCTTAGTGTAATTTACCCTATTAATAATTATAATGAGAAGTAATCATTACAATATGTTACAAGTATCAAGTTCAACCATCTAGGGAACACAAGGGAAAAGCTAGCAAGATAATGCAGCTTAGTTAATGCAGAATTAAATTAACGACTTTCAAGTTGGAGGGACGTATTTAAGAGAACTTATATAATTTATAGTTTTATTTAAGAATAATTTTAGATTTGAGGACCTACTTTAAAAAAGGTTAACATTGGACGATCATCATAAAAAAAACATTCAATTACAATAAATACACAATAATAATTAATTCATACATTTCTTTTTAAGCAATACTATTATACAATTTTCTTTATTAACACATAGTTTTACTATCCAATAAAAAATTCAAAACTTAAAACATGTACGTTCACGTGCAAAGCACACACATTATACTAGTAACTATTAAAAAACAGTTGAGATATAAAAAACTGTGTTCCTTGAATGACTTTTACACCTAGCTTTAAAGATGGTCAAAGTTTTCTTTACTGTCAGAATAAACATACCAGCAGCTGCTCAAGGAAGAAGAAATAGCACATAGTGCTAATCAAGATCAGCACAACAAGATCCTGCCAGGTTCTGCAGAATTAATGAAAATTTATCATTTGCCAAAAAATTATAAAAATGAATTGTATTTAGGGTAAATTTCACAAAGCCCCCTTAAGTTTGTCCAATGTTCAGACAAGCCCCTAAACTTAAAATTGTCACTTAGCCCCCCTTAAATTTGGGGTGTTTCAGGAAAACCCCAAACGTTTTCAAAAATTTCAGCTAACCCTTCTAACGGTCTTAGATGAACTAGTAAAAGGTAAAATATTATTTTCAAATTAATAATCTAATTATTAAATGAAGTTAACTAATCAACGTCATTTTGGTCAAAACTAGACCACACTTATGGGGGTTTTCTGAAAATTACCTCTAAAATTATTGAAAAGGACATGAAACGGAGTTTTCAACCAGCGGTATTTTGGCCAGTTTGATGGACATGATTTTCACTATACATAATGGTGTTAGTTAGGGGGCTTATCTGACAAACCTTAAGGGGAGTTAAGTGACAATTCTAAAGTTTAGAGGAGTTATCTCAAAAATGACCAAACTTAAGGGGAGTTTATGAATTTTACCCTTGTATTTATCTGATCTAACTGTTACAGGATTGGTTACCAATAGATTTATTTTAGTGGAGCTTTACATAAGAAAATGTCCATAATAAATTTATTCTCATGTGATCTAGAACTAAATTTACCTGGTTACCATTGAGCTGGAATTCTGTCTGGGCTGTGGTTGGCTACTATTTCTTTGAGCAGAACTCTGCACCCGTAATAATGTAACTGGTAAATTCAGAACTTCATGACCACAGACTTCACACTTCTTGTTGCCTCTTATGCTAAACCACTTAACTGCACATTCTTCATGTGTAAGCCTCAGATCACCTTTACAACTGCACTCCATCCTTAGCCAGTTTCCTCCTTCGTTCAACCCAACTAAACAGATTCTACACACAGCCTCTTCTTCAGGAATCTCTTCATCACTGTCATCAATTTGCACAGGAACTGACTGACCTATAGTGGAGTATTAAATGAAGTTACAAATTAAACCCATACAGAAAATGTCTCATAGATAAAGTTAGGTTATTTTTTTCACTAAAACCACATGTAAAAGAGGGCCACAACATGAAGACAACCTTTACAGTTCAATTAATATAGAAACCACATTTAAAGGAGGCATTGTTAGATCAGCCACTTTGACTGATTTTTCGGTGAATCTCCGATTGAAATCCTCAAAATTACCTTACAAAGAAGAAGAAATCTTCTCGATTCATGTATGTTGCTTGTAATTAACTAAAAATCAACCTTGTTTCTTTGTGTTTCATCTACATATTCAATCAAAGTTTCACCAGAAAGTCCTTCAAAGTGGTTGATTGCTATTAAAGCCCCCTTTAAAGGAGTTTATGTAAAATTGAACTTTAAATATGGTTTTTGTATTGTCACCCTATTTTTAAGTGTGGTTTTTTATGAAAAGAACCCCACAAAGTTATATTCACATTGAAAATCAACGAAGTAAAATATTACCATCTGGCTGATCAGCATGTGTAGGTTCCTTTGGAGACGGAAATGATCCAGATCTCACGATAACAATATTTCGCATGGGAACAGACAAGGACCTTGAAACCCTTCTGGGAATTTTTCTTTTCTGAAAATGTTAACTAGAGCAATTTGTTTACAGTATTCGCATATGAAAGCCAAGAAAAAAAATACCAGGTATAACAACAGGAATGAGATAAGGGAAACTAAATACTAATGGAGGAAGGAGAGGACAAATAGAAATAACAAAACAGATAATAGAAGTCCTAGTGGTTTTCTCATGTTCCTTGACAACCAATCCGGATCTGACAATAACAAAAAAAAAAAAACAAAGCCTTTATATCAAATTTGGGGGTTGACTACATGAATCTCATTCTTCCGTTTAGTTCTATTACGGCTGCTTGGAAAAGTTAATAAACATTGCGTCCTTCTTAATTACTTCAAACCAAGTTGTTTTAGGTTTACCTCTAGTCACCGTTGACCTATTAACTATAATCTTCACTTCTCCCCAGTGGTGCGTATAGTGACTCCGTTTTATACGATCAAATCATCTCAATTTACTCTTTCTCATTTATCCTCACCAAGAGCAACCTCTAATCTCCTACAAATGCACTCATTTCTTAATCTCTTAGTATACATCCACAAGACCATTGTAACCAGGGGCAGTTGCACCCCTAACAATCTATAAATTACATATAAACCTTCTACAATTATAATTCGCCCCACATAGTTTTAGGACTTCTGAACCCCACTATGAAATCTCAAGCAAATTTGGCAATTTACTGATTTGTAGCCCATTTTCATTCAGCTCAACTGAAATTAGTATCCCATTTTCATTTAGGTAAATAGACACTTATCGTCCGCCTCCTGAGAAAAATTTTCTGGATCCACCACTGATTGTAACATTCTCATTTTCTCTACACCTATTTTCTACACATGCTAGTGATACCAATATTAAAAAGATTAAGATGATGAAGTTACAGAAATCAAAACGGAGTACATCATAATTAATGAGGGAAATAGAGCTTACGCGGGATATGTGCTTCCCAGTACATAACTCCTCCTGAGCAGAGGTAGGCGAAGGAGACAAATCTGATACCGGTTTAGCTGGAAGTGATGCACATCTTTTCCACGAGAGTCTTGCAACGATATTAGCCAATACAGCATTGTCATGACCCGAGCGATTTTCTTGCTTTGAATCATGTTGTGGATTTAGAAGGGAGCTTTCCTCAACATCAAGTAAAGCGGCTTTGTTTTTAAAGCTAAGCCCTCGTAGAAAACCAAGAGCTCCACCTCCAATAGATGAACTTCCTTTAGAATAATCATGGCTCAGATTCCTAGAAGGTACTTGAAGGGTGAGCTTTGATGACACTCCGCTAGGCCCTTCAGATGATGTACCCTTTTCAACTGAATGTAATTTGCGTTGTTCAGCCTGGAGTATCAACTACCTAAAGTTAACTCAAATACTGAATACTGTAACTTGAAGAACCATGTTAACTAGTAGAAAGCATATAATCAGATAAATTTTTTAAAACACTAGACTATCGATACAGCTGCATACAAGCGTAGTGCAGTCTCAGATATTAGTTTAATGGATAACCATCACTTAAATAACATTCTGACAATTGATTCCATGATTTATCCAAGCTTTAGTGCATGTAAGGGCCGTATAAATAATGATGAAGAAGATTATGCTAAAAAACTTTGGACATCCTGCAATGAAAGCATGTAAGGGCCGTATAAATAATGATGAAGAAGATTATGCTAAAAAACTTTGGACATCCTGCAATGAAAAGTACCAAAAAGTCGAAACTCACATTGGAAGAAGATTATGCTAAAAAACTTTGGACATCCTGCAATGAAAAGTACCAAAAAGTCGAAACTCACATTGTCGTCCAAAATTCTATATGTCAAAACTATAACAGCCCTAAGCCCCTTATATATGTATGCCTACAGATTTTGTAAGCTTTTCCTCTGAACTTAAGAACAGCCAAAAGCTCCTTATATATGTTATCTTGCAGGCTTAGAAACTAACGAAATTGAATGCTTTAAACTCTTTTTTACCCCGGGGAGGTGGGGTGTGCTACAAATTTTATAACTATATAGGAACAATACATCATGAGAATATAAGGACTGCCATTGATTATTTGTTTGCTTTGCCAACTGGTGAATCCATACTGGATTCCTTCTCTACTAGTGAAAAATAATGAGCTCATGAACAAAAGAAGTAAGGGCAGTACCATCACAAAAGTGATATTCCCCCTAATATAGTGGGCAATATCCAAAAAGAATCACAAGGAGAAATTGCATGAGTTAGTAATGGAGAACATTATGCAACGCATGTAGCGATCACCAGGTTCTGGATAAAGCATAGTCTCCCCTCGAAAATGCAGAACTTCTACGCATCAAGATCTAATAGTTGGTTGAGCCTACAAAAGTTGTCAATATAACAAATTGCAGCGTACAACCTCTTCATTTGTTCTACTCATATGAGACAAAAACACCAGCACCCATAACCAAAACACTTTCTTTGTTAATTTCAATTAGCAAGCCTGACAATCTGGAATTTCCATCTCCCCTAAAATATCATAAGCAGAGTTATGGTGGGCCTCTTAAGATAAACAACAAGCTAGCTAATATATTTCTAAATACTAAGAACGATTTGATCTGTATTCTAACTATTAAACCAACTTATATTCTGGTCTTCGAGAATGGACATTCTTAAAACAATGATTTCACTAATATTTTGTGCAATAACTAAAAATAGCTTCAAATAGGCAAAAAAAAACCCCAATAAATTTGCCCAAATCAACAGCACAAGCAAATGGGTTCTTCAGAATCTGTGAACAGAGTTCAAATCAAGCAAATTCACGATGTGGGTTCTCTCAAAATTCACAGAAAATCGTGTAGAAATAAGAGAAAGGAAGGAACGGTCACCTTTTGAGAGGAAGAGGAGGAGGAGGTAGTGGACTGGTTGATGCCACTGGAGGCTGATGCTTGCTCCATCTTCAAAGAGTGAGATTAGAGCAGGTGAAGAGACAACAGTCATGCACTCAGCATTTATTTAAGGGAAGAAATTATTTTTATTGATACTAATAAGTGTTCAGTTTAGTTAGAGGA